TTTCTTTCTTTCTTTCTTTCTTTCTTTCTTTCTTTCTCTCTCTCTCTCTCTCTCTCTCTCTCTCTCTCTCTCTCTCTCTCTCCCTCCCTCCCTCCCTTCCTTCCTTTCTTTCATTTGTTTTCTCTGTGTAGCTTTAGAGCCTGTCCCAGATCTCGATCTGTACACCAGGCTGGCCTCGAACCCACAGAGATCCGCCTGGCTCTGCCTCCCCGAGTGCTGGGATTAAAGGCTGCGCCACCACCGCCCGGCACCTCCTGCTATTCTTGATCCTTAGGAAACTTTGCTTCCCTGCTCTCTGAACCTTTTGCCTGGGTAGCATGTGTGTTTGATCCCCAGAGAAGGTGGTTTCTGAGTAAGGCAGTACAGGACATGGAGGGCAAAGCTACCAGAATGGCTGAGGAGCAGCCTCGAGCCTGCCTTCTGGAGGCTCACTGTTGCAATGCCTGCTGGGTCCAGGGCCAGCGGCCAAGCAGAGGATGTTAGGATAGGTGATCAAGGGATATATTAGTGGTGGAACACAGCCTACAGGTCTCTTCCCATCCCCCAGGGCTGGTCCAGGGGATCCCACACCCAACTGATGGTTACATCCCACAAAGAGACAGGCACACAGCTCCCAGGGCCCTGCAGACATATTGGCACAGGCAGTCTGGACTACGGTCATCCTTGCTAGGGCTGTGGCTTCTGTTAGCATCCCCGATCAGGGCTCATTAGGACTGTGTTGATTCTGCCTGGTGGATGAGATGAAGGGGAGCCTTCCCACGAGGAGCAGCTGAGTCCACACTTCAGGATGTAAGGGGAGCTGGAGCTGAGGTTTCTGGAGGGTGCTCACTAGTATCCTGGTTCCCGTCGTTCACCCCAGTGCCCCGGGCAGAGCAGAGCACTTCACCCTGGTGGCCATGTTGATGGAAAAAGTACTAGAATAGGGACACAGATGCTGTCATTGCCTTTGAAATGTGTCCCTTCCTGTCCTGAGGAAAGCAAGGTCCATCTTATTTATGGGATATTTAAAGTAAGGAATGAGAGCGTAGGATCATAAGTAGTAACCACCCTGCTGCCAGCCCCAAAATGTCCAGTCTGCTGTGTGGCCTCTGCCAGACACTCGACTGCTCTGAACCATTGCTTCTCTATCTGGCCAATGAGGCTACTCTGACTGGTGTCTCCCAACAGGTATGTAACCCATAGCACCAGCTGTCTAGCCTGTGGCCTTCCATATAAGCACCTTCCTGGCTTCTATAACTTCTCTGCTCTCAGCTCTGACTGTAGGCTAGGCTGGTGTCTTACTTAGGGTCCTGTTGCTGTGGTAAGACACCATGACCCACATCAACTTGGGGGGGAAGGGTTTATTTCATCTTACAACTTTGGTCCATCCATCATCCAGAGAAACCAGGGCGGGAACTCAGGCAGGAACCTCGAGGCAGAAACTGATGGGGAGGCCCCGGGGGAGCGCTGCTGCCACACATACAAGCTTGCTGTCCGTGGTTTGTTCATCCTGCTTTCCTATACAACCTGGGACCACCTGCCTGGTGGAGGTACCTCGCACAGTGGGCTGGGCCCTCTCCCACATCAATCTTCAATTAAGAAAATGCCCTATGGTGGCCTACTGGTCAACCTGATGGAGGCATTTTTTCTCGATTAAAATTCCTTCTTCCCAGATGCCTTGTGTCCAGTTGACATCAAAACTAGCCAGCCCATATATCTACCTCCAGATCGTGGGGACAGTCACCTCCAAGTCCCTGGCCTTGCAGTACCCAAGGACCTGCTGCAGTTTTTTTGGCAGTGGTCAGCCTCTGTGCAGTCTGCCAGTGTTGCCAACATGAGCTCAGAGATGACCTCAGTTCAGTGGAACTGGCTGCCAGGCATTCAGGCGAAAGCAATCCCAGTTTCCAGTAAAAAGAAAAAAGAAAGAAAAAAAGAAAAAGAAAAGAAAAACTTGCTGTTTCTGTTTGCAGGAATCTTGAAATGGCCAATGTGGGCAGCAGCCCCCAGGCATGAGGTCATCTTGTTAAAATACAACCAAGTTTGTCATCTGGAGGCAGTGTCCCAAAGGCAGCCCGGATCATGTGATCTAGCTGCATGCAGGTTGCCTGTCCACCTGGAGCAAGACATGAAACTGTGGCACATCCCAGAAGCCTCCCTGTGACCCCCCAGTTTCCTCCTGTTGCAAGCATCCCAGGGCAAGAGCTCATCAGTTAGTGAACAGGTGTAGCAGGGCCAAGCTGGGCTGATAACCGAGGAACTTCACAAAGGAGTAGGGTACCCTGGGGACCCGCAGCCTTTAAGAGAAGGGTGGCAGGTACTCTACTGAGTGAAGAGGGTCGTGTGCAGGCAAACAAAGGCTTAGGCTGTGTGATGGTTACTATCGTCGGTTTTTGACGGGATCTAGAATGAACCTGATAGAGGACAGGCCTCTGGGCATACCTGGGAAGGATTTTCTGGATTGAATTAGCTGAGGTCGGAAAACCAACCCTGAATATGGGCAGCACCAGTCCATGGTCTGGTGTCCTGGACTTCATAAGAGGGACAAAGAAAGCTGAGCCCCAATATTGATCTCTCTTGGCTTCCTGGCCGTGGCTGCCATGTGTCACCCTGAATTTACCACCGTAGTGGGCTGTACCCTCAAACCATGCACCCGAATAACCCCTGCCTTCCTGGAGTTGTGTTGTGTTGCGGTTGTTAGGTATTTTGTTAGAGAAAGAAGAAAAGTCACTGATAGGCTTCTTCCTACTAAGAAGGCTTCTCCTCATAGGCCCTGTCCCTTGAACTGGGAGCCACAGGCCACATCTGTCCCATGTCCAAGTGGCTGTGAAGAGGCCGCTTTCTGAGCCCCAGGAGGTGCCTGTGAGGTCCCCCCACCTTGAGAAGAGAAGCGTGTTATCAGGCCCATGGGCATGCGGTGGTGCAGCACCTGAGTGGCCCTTCTGGGTGAGGAGCTGCCTGGCCATCCGTGTCTAGTCCAGCTAGTCCCCGGCTTCTCCCTGTCCTTCCAGTGCCCATCACTGCAGTCACAGTATGAGACTGCCTCGGTACCAAGTGACCCAGCTCATTCCTAGTGCACGCTCAAGCCCTTCCCCTCCCAACTCCCTCCTCTTGTCTGTGTGACCCCCTTGGGTCAAGAAGACCTGTGTGTTGGAGATTTGAGGACCACTGTGGTTGCTCCCCCTGCTAAGATGGCTCTGCCTGGGCTGCCCCTCCACCTTCCTGTGCTCCTCTTCTGACCCACTCTTCGATGGCCCTTGGCATCCAGAAGGCCCCCAGCTGACCTGGGAACCGGGGAATGACCAGTAGGCCACCTGTGCACTCATGAGAATCCTTACCTTGTGTCTTATTTCCAGCTCCAAGAAGCCCAAGAAACGCCCGGAGGTGGCCACGAGGCCCAAGCCTTCACCTCGACTCACTATCTTTGACGAGGAGATAGACCCTGATGCGGGCCTCTTTAGCCCAGGCGATAGGGCGTCCCCTCTGAGACCTCTGGGGGCCACACAGGACTGTAAGTACTGGTGTTGTGGCCTGGAGTTTGGTGACCATCTGTGTGTGTCCCTGAGCAAGCGAGTCTCATCTTTGTCCTGTTTAGATGGAATACAGATTAGGTATGTGGAGAGCCTCACACCTGGTGTCCCCACAGGCTGGAACATTTTGGCATTATACACTTATTCTGAATGTCCTATACAGGAAGAGAATGACCCCCCCCCCTTTTTTTTTTTGGTTACTTAGAGACCTAGTCCCCTGGTTACGTCTGTAGCTACATGGGCACTAGAGTTCCCTGGAGTTAACTGGAAAGAGGATGCTGGCCTACCTTGGACGTGCATGCGACTCTGTACAATTTTTAATTTGAATGATTGCGTGTCACCCACATAGACTCTACTGCAAGGCATGGTGCAGGGTCCAGAAGGAATGCTCAGTAGCTTTGGGACTCCTCCATGAGTCTCTCTGACCTTTCCTCATGCCTGCCCAGGCCCTCCCTCCCTCCTCCTCCTCCTCCTCCCCAGGCAGAGTTGATGGTAACTTACTGATTCATCCTGTGCTTGGTGAGCGTCCACCAAGGGAAGGTCAAGCTCAGGTTCCCCAGCCTTAAATCTAGAGCCCCCAGGGAGCTAGAGATACATAGTATCGCCCAAAAATTTAGCACAGCACGGATCTCTTTCAGGGCTGAACAGAAACGCCTGTTCCCATAGGACAGCGGGCATCCTGGGAAGGAGTGCAGTGGTGGACCCCGAAAGACCAGGGGGCCTGGCCAGCTCCACTGGGGGAAGATTTTTTTTTTTTTTTTTTTGAGCTGAGGATCATTTTTTTTTTTTTTTTTTTTTTTTTTTTTTTTTTTTTTTTTTTTGAGCTGAGGATCGAACCCAGGGCCTTGAGCTTGCAAGGCAAGCACTCTACCACTGAGCTAAATCCCCAACCCTGGAAAATGCTTTCAAGTAGAGATATGATTGATACTCCCAAAGGGCAGCTGTGAGTGGGTCCAGTGGGAGACGATTGGGAAGACCTGGGCTTACTGAAGGTGCACCCCATGAGCAGTTCATGTCTGCTGCCCCTGCTCCTCATTCACGACCTTGGCAAGATCCGTGGCTGGTGGATGCCCCCGGTCCCTACTCATCTGTACCGGTGGGCAAGCTCAGGGGTCCAGTCGTGGGGTGGGGCTGGTGCATTATCCTGAGAAGCCACTGACCCCAGCAGTGAGCAGCCCTCAAGGACTGGAACAGAGCCAGGGCAAGGTGGACAGGCAGCTCAGACCTTTATAGAGGTGATAGGCCCTTGTCCTCCTTCGGCCCCACGGGCCCCCAGAGATCCGCTGCCATTGCTCACTTCCTTGAGTGTAATACGAGGCTTAGCAGGCCTGCTTTCTGAGCTGAGGCCAGACCAGCGTTTCTCTCATGCCCTCTGCCCCTTCTTTCCCACAGCCCTGAAGCTGTTCGACGACCCTGATCTTGGCGGGGCTGTCTCCCTGGGTGACCCTTTACTGCTACCGACTGCCCGGGAGAGTGGAGGGCCCACATCCAGCCCGGAATACAGGGATGCCTCCAAGGAGCTGTTCAGGTAGCGTTGTCCCCCGGGGAAGACTTCAGAGGCTCTTACCCTGGTGTGAGAGTGCTTTACTAGCTTCAGCCCACAAGGGAGGGATCCGGGCCTAGCCAAGTCCTGGGGCCACTCGTGGCCGCTCCTGGCTATAAGAGAGTGAGGATTTGCTCGGGGAAGGCTGTCAGCAGCCAGGGCAGCCCCACTGGTTCCAAGGAGAACCGTGTTCCTCTTCTTTTCACACTTCTATTTTAATAGCCTCTTTAAGGGGATAAAATAACTAAATTATGTAATTCATGGACAAGTATAATTGGCATACGTGGGTTTGGGAACACATAAAACTGACCCTTGATGTACTTCATGCTCAGAGGGAACAGAGCACAAATGTACTGCAGAACAATGGCCAGTCCACCAGGAGGGTCCTATTAGAGGGAAGGGAAAGGCAAGATTAATCTGTTATCTGAAGGCTGATGTGAAAAAGAAAAAATACTATTTCCATGTGTGTCCAGCATTGTAGGAGCTTTGCCTCACCACAGATAATCTTATTTACCCTTCACACAGCCCCTAAGATGTTGCTGTTCTCTGCAGTTACAGAAAATAGTATAGGAAAGATCACTTGCCTGAGGCCACCGCTCGGTATCACCCCGTGTCACCCCTCTCTGCTCCAGTGAGAGCCCCGAGCCCTTGGAAGAGAGGCTGGGAGACCTGCCTTCCTGCCTCAGGCTGTGGGTTCTCCCTGACTTCTTGTGCAACAGCCTGCTTCCAGTTGCTTCCATGCTGGTGTCTCTGCCTCCCAGTCCACGCTCCCAGCATGCAGTATATGCTTGGTGACATGCATGGAGTGAGCCGCCTCTTTCCAGGAATGGTTTACATGGCACCGAGGCCTGTGGTCCTGGGAGGCTGTCATCCGCACCCCTCGTTAGCAGCCCCAGGCTATTACACAGCCCTCTAAGTGCCTGCCAAGCCTGAGTCACCTCAATGGCGGGCTTGTATTTACATCTCCCAGAGGCCCCTGGCATCTGTTCATTCCCTCATCATGTGTCCTCGCTCCTGACATCCTGCTGGCTGGGAGGAGCCGGGATCATTGTTATTCCATTTGGGAGGAAACTGAGGCACAGGGAAGTCTGGCAGCAGGGTCTGTGCCGGTGGGACAGATGTCATGGAGCCTCTCTCTAGCAGCACATATTAGAAACCCTTTGCTTTCCATCCCACGTCCCACCGATCCTGGTTCTGTGGGTGTGTCAAGGCAATTTTCACAGGGTTCTGTGGCCAGCTGACATCAGCTTTAAACAGGCTTGTCATGCACAAGCGCAAACACTGCCACGCAGCATTTCATGGCCTTATTGGTCCCTGGGACCCTTCCTTCTCATTGGGCCTCCCTGTCTTGCACGGCCCCCTGGGAATCGCGGCGTAAAGAATGTGGGCTTTGCATCCCTGCCTCCCTCCATTAACAGACATCTGGTGGTGAAGCATTGGCTTTTTGAGAGCAGGAGCCAGAAATTATTATTCTTTGTGCCTACCTTGTTCCTGTTCAGGCAGTAATTGGACTTCCTCCGGATAGCAGGCTCTCGCTCCTCCGTTATTCTGTTAGCCACTCACCTCAGCATCCATTCTCCTGCGGCAGCAATGTTGGAGCTGCTGAATGGACCAAGCAGAGTTCAAGAGGCCCCTACAGCAGGCCTTGAAGTCGCTCTGTAGCTGGGTTCTGCCTTCTGCGGGGGCTTAGGAGGGAGTAGAGAGCTACGGTTTATGGGCACAGAACACTTCAGGACAACAATTTCAACTGCTGTGGTTGACTTCGAACCACAGATCTGGACAGAGAGAGGAGCTGAACCTCGTGTTAGTTAGACCTGATCTCAGGAGCCTGTGTAACCATCCATGTGCTAAGGGTGGCTGTACTGGCCCTGCTGTGGCTGGCCACCCAGGGGACCCCTCCCAACCTCAGCAGACCGGGCTGCAACTTGTTCCAAGGAGTCATGGCTGTGCTTGAAATGGGTCTCAGGTCTTTCCTAAAGAACTCTGGCCGGGCGGTGGTGGCACACGCCTTTAATCCCAGCACTCCGGAGGCAGAGGCAGGTGAATCTCTGTGAGTTCGAGGCCAGCCTGGTCTACAGAGTGAGATCCAGGACAGACACCAAAGCTACACAGAGAAACCCTGTCTCAAAAAAAAAAAACAAAACAAAACTCTGAAGCTAGCTCTGCCCTTTTGAGCTTTTTGTGGGCACCCTCTGGAGAATGTAAAGGAAGCCAGCTCCTGACCCAGTGAAGCAGTGGCTGCCCGGAGAAAGCTGAGACACATGGGAGCTGAGACTGTCAGGAGCCGCCTTCCCACGGGTGACGACACCTCCCTACAGTGGCTGGTCTTTCTAGAAACTGGCCCACCCATTCCCTCTGGGTCTAGACTTTGTGTTCACTTCTCTGCTACTCAAGCAGGTTCTGGAAGTCCCGGTCACCCCAGAAAGCAGACAGGGCAATCCAGAGCTCCCAAGTAGCTGAGTCCTAACAGACAGTTCTCTGGGACCATGCACTGTGGATCTCTGTGCTCACCCAGGCCTCTCCCAGGCCTCGGAGGACCATTGCATTGTTTAGACCAAATGTTCCTCTTTCCGCTCCTGTCCCCCTCCCCCACCCCAGTCCTGCTGGGGTGCTCTTGTCCCTCTGCAAGGACAGAGAGCCGCCATCACGCTGGCCTGAATCCTTTTGCTTTTCCTTCCCACTGCCTTTGCTCTGTCGTTCCCCTCTCCGGGATCCTGCCAGTTCATGTCAGGGCCGTCTCTCCCCTTCCTGTCCTTAGGAACCCTTCCCCACCTTCCCTGGCCACACCCTGCCCTAGCCATCCGTGACTCCTTGGCACCTGCCATTGTTCAGGTCCTCTCTGGCCAGCCGGGTTGGGGTGGCCCTGCGTAAGGAGGGAGGCAGTGGCTCTCGTCTAGCTAACAGCCGCCCTGTTTAACATCCGGTGCCTGTCAGTCAAAGTCAGTTGTGCGCAGGAGTCCCTCAGACTTGGGAAGCACTTTCTGCGTTGTTTAATTTGACCCTTATCAGGATTCCTGTGAGGTTAGGGGAACCAGCCCTCCTATACAGATGAGCAGACTGAGAGAGCCAGAGAGGTGGCGTGGCCTGAGGCGGCTTGCTGGGGGGCTGCCTGATAAGAAATGGAAACCAGGCCGGGCGGTGATGGCACACGCCTTTAATCTCAGTGCTCTGGGAGGCAGAGGCAGGCGGATCTCTGTGAGTTCGAGGCCAGCCTGGTCTACAGAGTGAGTTCCAGGACAGGAGCTAAAGCTACAGAGAAACCCTGTCTTGAAGAAAGAAAAAAAAAAAAAAAAAGTAGAAGCTAGTCCTGCTCACCGCTGCTCTACAGCACTAATGGCCCCCTTCCCTTCCCGGGGATGAGGAACCAGAGCGTGGAGAAGCTACGGGCCTCCCTTGACCCCCTCGGCACCGCCCCAGGTTGTCGGCTTTTCCACGGCTGTGCTCATCTAACCTGGCATGGCTGAAGGACACCTGTGGAGATAACTGTCAGCACGAGGGACAGCCCCTCCCTGACGCTGGAGAAGGGACCTCCGTGCAGGGGTACCCAGGAAGGTGACCGCCCTGTAGAGAGCGCCAGCCTCTTATGGGTCAGGTACTTTTTAATCCTCACCCTAGCCGTGGAGCCCAAGACAGGGCCCTTCACTTCACTAGAGCTCAGTCTGTTGCCTCTGTAGAGTGGGGTTCGTCTCTGCTCCCAGACAGCGTGTTGAGAGCGCATCAAACAAACTGGAGACGCGTCGCTGGGCTGTGGTGGCACACGCCTTTAATCCCAGCACTCGGGAGGCAGAGGCAGGCGGATCTCTGTGAGTTCGAGGCCAGCCTGGGCTACCAAGTGAGTTCCAGGAAAGGCGCAAAGCTACACAGAGAAACCCTGTCTCGGAAAAAAACAAACAAAAAAACAAAAAAACTGGAGACGCGGAAACGCCCGACCCGTGGTATTCGTTTGCCGCAGCACCGAGTGGGCTGACAGGTGGAGTGGGTTGGCGGAGGTTTGTGTTGCACTTCTGAGATCCAGTTTCTCCGCTGGGAACCTCACAACGCAAGCTCCCCTGGGCTAAGAACGGTTGGGCAGTGGGTCGTCCGTCTGTCCAACTAGTCAGTATTCAAGCAGGCTCTCCTCCTTGCCAGTCACCAGGGCAGCCTCAATCCCATCAGCCGGTGGGCAATCTGAGGATTGTGCCATCACCCAATCTTTTAAAAAAAAATTTTTTTTTAATTTTGTTACTGTGTGTGTATGGCTGTTTGGCCTGCATTTGTATCTGTGCACCATGTGTACAGTGCTCTTAGAGGCCAAAAGAATTAAATTCCCTTAGACCGGAGTTACAGGTGGTTGTGAACCTCGGTGTGAGTGTTGAGGTTCGAACCTGGGTCCTCTGGAAGAACTGCCAAAGTTCTTAACTGCTGAGTCATTGCTCCAGACTCACATGACCCAATGTTGGTGAGTCCTGGCTGAGTCCACTCCAGCCTTTATGGGGCTCTGTCTAGAACCCAGTGACTCAGAGAGATAGGCCTCGGCCAGCAGACCCCATCCCACAGCAGCTCAGAATCCCATGTTCACTGCTTCTCTGGGTAAACTGATTTAGCTTGATGTTGTGCGTCCCGGATCAGGCATCCTTGTTAGGATGTAACTTAGGCACGACTGTAACTTAGTGCCCTCTCAATGAGCCACCCAGCCTCTCAGACTATAGCTTCTTGTCTGTAAAAAAAAAAAAAAAAAAAAAAAAAAAAAACACACACACACACATATGTTCTTCCCTGAAGTCGGGATTTGAGAGAGAGAGGATGTTTCTAAAGTGCCCAGTGAAGGTCAGGAGTCTGGTACCAGATAGCATGCAGTTATTTCTAAAGGGCTGGGAGGGAAGTCCTCTGAAGACACCAGCAGGTTTGGAGTCACCGCCGAGGGACTGGCTCTACCCTGGCTGCTGTAGAGGTGGGGGGGTCAGAAAGCCCCACCCTTGGGCTTTTCCTCAGTGCTGGTTGGATGGTACAGTGCACGAGGCCTTGACATGAGGCAAGCCGGGAGCTCTTCAGTGCCCATGCGCGGAATGGTGTTACTCCAGGCCCTTGTTTCTTTCTTCCTTTCTTTCTTTGTTTCTTTGTTTCTTTCTTTCTTTTTTTTTTTTTTTTTTTGGTTTTTCGAGACAGGGTTTCTCTGTGTAGCTTTGCGCCTTTCCTGGAGTTCACTTGGTAGCCCAGGCTGGCCTCGAACTCACAGAGATCCGCCTGGCTCTGCCTCCCAAGTGCTGGGATTAAAGGCGTGCGCCACCAACGCCCGGCCAGGCTCTTGTTTCTTTTGTAGATAGAGTTACATTCTAGGACTGCTCTCTTTGGTTCCCTAGAGTTGAAGAGGACCTGGACCAGATTCTGAGCCTAGGGTCTGAACCTAAACCCAAGCCCCAGACTAAGCCCAAGCCTCAAGTCCCAGCTAAGCCGGTACCGCCCAAGAAACCAGCTGCGCCCACCTCTGTGGGCCCGGCAGAAACTGGGGCTGGACCGCAGAAGCAGCAACAGATCCAGGCCATGGACGAAATGGACATCTTGCAGTACATCCAAGACCACGACACACTTACCGAAGACTCCCCCAGCCTCTTCTGACTTCAACCCCCTCCAACCTCTATTGGGTCTGCGGCTGGCTGCATGCCCTCCGGGGGAAGAGGCCTGTTTGTGAGTACGTGGGTTCTGTCTGCAAGGCAAGGACCACGAATGGAAGTGAAAGCCTGGATGCCCCCGTCCCGGTACCACACGGTTTCCTTTTCTCCTGGGCTGTGGGATGGACAAGGACTCTGCCCAGCGTAGAGTTGGGAACATCATAGGAATCAAGCTGCCTTGTCCCAGCCCAGCTGACTGTAAAGAGGAAAGGAGGTGTGGGCCTCACATGGCTCAACAGGGGCCTGACCTCAGAGCTGGAGTGAGATCAGAGGACAATGTCCACCAGGGAAGGGACGCCTTCCACATGCTTGTATCCACTGGCTCTGCCAGCTCAGTGCAGGAAGGAAGGCTTACCTGAGCCTAGGTTGGGCTAACAGGGGTACCTCTGGAGTCTCTCCTTAGCATGGCTGCTCAGGCCCAGCTATCCAGACTGCCTTGACCCAGGTCCCTTCTGAATCCCTTTGGGCTTTCTGGGCTAAAAGGAAAACTTAGGCCCAGCCTTGCCTCTCTAGGGCACGGAGGACTTCCAGAACTCCAGGTCTTCCATTTCCTGTCCCACGAAGGGCCTGGCCAGCCCATGGCTCCTTGGATGCGGGTGTCAACAGAATGGCTCATAGCATCTCCCAGAGCTTGACCTCTGGGGTATGAGGCAATGAGGTTTTTCCTCCAAGACCTTGTCTACCCTCAGGATCTGAACTTGTTAGTTTTTTTTTTTTTTTTTTTTCGGTGGAGCCACCAGCCAAGGAGAAGGAGCCGTGTACCAGGACAATCAACCCTGTGCCTTCCAGTAGATGGTGTCTCCTGGAGCAAAGAATGTCAGAGTATATTCTTTGTGTTAGGAACTAGTTTTTATTTTTTTATGAAACACATAGTTGTTTGTTTGTTTGTTTGTTTTAACAAAATGCAGCCGTTTTGTTCCTTGGCTCAGTTGTGCTTCACAGAGGCATTAGAAGGGCTCACTCAGGTCCAAGAGTCACCGTCAGGAGCTCCGGAGTGGCACTGTCCAATCGCTTGCTGCTGTCAGCGTCCGGGGTCCCCGGCTCTTACCTTGTAATAAGACCTACAGGAGCAGGCTGGGAGTCCCAGGTCTGACCTGGCTTGCATCTTTCTCACCGCGTCCCTCGTCAGCCGCCTAGTTCTGAGCAGGGCCAGATGAATGAGAGGGCGTAGATGGTTCTAGGCGAAGGAGCAGAGCCAGACTAAGGGTCTCCTCAGAGCCTAGAACTGACTCCAGAGAGCCCCTACCCCAACTCTACTTTCCGTTCACGAGCAGGCCTTCACCCCTTCCCATCTCTTGGTGCCCAGGCCCCGGGAGCCCTCCACCCCCACCCCCAGCTCCCTCTTGACTGACCGCAAAGGAAAGTTCAGTAAGTAGGGAGAGGCCACGTGGCCCAGTCCTCTGCAGAGCCATCCAGCTGTGTTCCCAGGCCTCCTTAGACACTTCTCCCTCTATATCCGTTCCTCTGTGCCTTGGCTACCAGCTCTCTACCTCTCTTTCTCTCTCTCTCTCTCTCTCTCTCTCTCTCTCTCTCTCTCTCTCTC